ACTGGTTGATGGCCAAAATCGGCAGAATGTCTGAGTAACATTTTTCTGCCTTTTATCTCCATATAAGAATGACAGCTAGTATAATAGGAAGGTATCAGTGCACTCAGGGCAAGTACAGGCCAGAGAAGCAATTGCTGAAGAGAGTAAATGATGAATAGAGCTGGCTGTTGACTATGCCAGTGTGTCCAGTTAGGATTTGTTACCTGTTTTAAAAGCATTCAAGATGCTGAATCAGAAGGTGAGTTCAATAAGCAAGTCATGAATTTTCTAGTCTGCAAAATTTTATTAAGCAACAGCTGGACAACTCTTACAACTCCAAATCATCAAGGAAAAATAGGGCAATCAGTCCATCTCTCAATCATGTAGACAGTAAAGACTTTGGAGAAACCACATTATTAAAGGGAAACCATTAATGCTTTCTAGGCACCTCCTGCAAAATCTATTACATAAGATACGTAAAAGAAGAGGCAGATCAGGGTAGGTTTGTAATTACAACAAACGCCTGGTCCTGAACAACATATTTAAAAAAACCAAAATTTTTCAAAAGACATTTTAAAAATAGCATAGGTATGTATAAGTACACGGGCAGTGTACCAATTTTTTCCAAAGGCTTGAAAAGAGCATGCTGGGTACGTTAAGCTAGCAATCTACGCACCAGCATGACTGCACACTTCTTAAAAAAAAAAACAAGCAAAAAAAAGGTTGTTATAAATTCAGAAATAATGTCCAAAGTTACAGTACCAAAATAATGCATTTATAAACAAATGCAAAAAAAATTACTTTTTCAAGAAATACTACAGTGCCTTTTTCAATCAAGTGCACCCCCATGCTATTCCACAACACTATATATTTTGTATCTACAATAAACAACAAGATCTTTAACACCCCCCCCAACACACACACAGGAAAGAGAAAAAAGGCGGGGGGGGGGAATAAAAGGAAGCAAAAGGCAAAACACAGACTAAGCAAACAAAAGAAGGGAAAACTACAAATTTTTATCAACAAGGAACTTGAAACAACATAGACAGATGGGAATTACAAGCTGAGCACTATTTTAATGAAATACTAGGAACTCAATCATCTGCACATTGTAGAAAAATGTCTCTCTCAGTTTATTACTATTTTTAATCTTAACACGTATTATTTGAACCAACCATTCATCTGGCCAGCAACGTAAATATTCAATATGTACACAACTTTATTAGGATTCAAAATGCCTGTATTGGATTTTGTTTTTAAATTTGGAGTGTACATAAAGCAGAGAGCAATGATTAGAAATATTATACAGCCTTTAAATCTGTCTAACTTCATACACCCAATTTTTCAGTACACACTCTGAATGTATTTGAGATTTTTTTAGTCCCACAAATTCACTGTGGTCCAGATTTTACAAGTAGATCTGCATGAGCAGACTCCTGTGTCCATGTGACTTGCTCCATTCAGGCCTAGGAATCTGCTAGCAGAAATCCACCAATAGAATCAGAAGCATACAGTTGCAGGGTTTAATTTTAGCAACAAAAATTGCTTCAGTGATTCCTCCTTTTTCCTTATACTCAATTCCTGATCTTGCCTTAAATTCTTATTTCCACAAATACGAACAACCCCTCCCACTGCCATAATCCCGAAGCATTTTTTCCTAAAATGCCTTTAGAGATCTCGTTCAATGTGCAATGCTTAAGAGTTGGAATGAGATATTTTTAATTGTTAAGCTTCTGTACAGAACTGTGTTTTTGGGTAAATTTGTCAAATATCATCTCAAGTTGGTTTCCTTTTTTATCCTGTTATTACGGGACGGTGATAAAACTGTATACATTCCATGATGCATGTAGGGTCCAATCCTGCAAAAAGACCCATGACTGCAGCCCACTTTACCTATGCAGAATTACAAAATACTACTGAAGCCAGTAGAACCCTATGTTGCTATTCAAGTCCTTGCTGGTCCATCCTCTTGAAGGATCCAAGCCTAAACACTAAAAAAAAATTAGCTGCCAGGCCAACCTTATTTTTTTTGTTTCATCAAACCTGTAAAAGGGCCCTTCCCCTGGCACTGCTCCAATCATTATATTGACCTGTAATAAATATAACCCATTTTCCTGTGGTGGCATCCTAAGTTCATTAAAATAAACAGCAAAACTCCAATTTAAGTCAGTGGCACTAGGATTTAATTCCTGGTTTTGTTTTGGAAATTTTAGTAGAAACGTGCAGTGTCTCTGGAGTTAACGGTTTGCAGTTTTGCTACCTCAATCCCTATTTTATATCTGTACAAATAAAGAAATGCATAATTTGAGCCAGATTTAATCTCGCTTAAGGCTTGGACAGATCAAACACTTATATCCCTGAAAAAAGTTGGGAAAATTTACCAAAGTTCAGCTGAATCTGCACTACTTCACTAACTGCTCCCAACCCATGGTGAGTAGAAGTTAAATAGGAGCACCTTGACCAAATGACCTGGGATTAAATTACCACTACTGAGTTTCACTTAGTGGGTTAACAGCAGACAAAACAGTTACACAGGTCAGCTGACATACACTCCCAAGCAGGAAGCTTACCCATCCCCTTTAGGAATGGTGTAGGTAGGCATCTGCCCATGTTCTTACACTGCTGTAAATCAGGAGCGATTATTGGCTTCAATTGAGTTACTCTTAATTTACACCTGTATAAGTGAAATTAGAGCTCAGCCCTTAGCTAGCATGTCAAACATGCTCTAATGCCTGTGATTGCTCTTGACTGCCAGTGCAGAGTAGTGACAGCCCTGCAGAGATGAGCCCTTGCTTTCCAGTGTAATTAACTGTGGAACAGACATATACTTTCTTTAAAGCTAGTACAAGCCAAATTTTCCCCTTGTTTCTTTATTCAAAGTTGTTCCTCATACATTCACCCATTCTGAGGGAGATGTTGCAATATTCTCATTGGCTACCCAAATATAACAGTCACACTGCAGAAATAACTGCACTCAAACTGTTTGGAGCCTAAGGGCAGGTCCCCATGTTCAGGGATGTGTGGTTTGTGGCACCACAAACTGCATGTAGGGAATGTCAAAATGTGTGCTGCACTGCAAAATTTGCTACTGACAAAACCCAGTAACAAAAAACTCTGGGAAAAGAGCGGTGCAAAGCATGAGCCAATAATATGTGCTGGAACAAATGGCGGGC